CTTTTCTAGCCTCTAGCTTGTGCAGTTTAATAGTTATAACAAAACCCTCTACTACAGAAATATAGAGGTAGTTTTTCTCTTTCTTTTAAGCCCTAATTCGCTAGAATCCATGTATTATTGACAAAGTTTTGGGGGGTACCCACGAAGGACGTTGGAGTATACCCATTCCGCCAGCCTACTATAGCCTAGTAATTATAAGTAGGTTACCCTAGTACAAGGCGTTGCTGTAATAGGGTGTATTATCCTACCCTTCCTTATCTTTGCAGGCAAGGTCCTAATCTCCTCCTAGTTTACTAGTCTACCTTGCAACTAGGTTGTTATAGTCTCTCCTACTAGCTAGACTAATAATAATATTGTAATAGCATAGCTTAAGCACTTTAACGCCTATACAAAGGTAACCTCTGCTAGGGCATATAGGCTGCTTATTATTAACAGCTATAAGAGCCACTGCTCAATAGAATTCTAGGACTACTGCAAGGAGAACAAGATTATCACTCTCTGCATGCCACCACACTCATCGCACCTCCTGCAGCCTCTTGACGTTGTCCTATACTTGCTGTTAAAGCGCCACTACAGCAACAGGATCTCGCTCTTAGCACGCAGCTGCATCTACTATATTAATAAAGAAACCTTCCTACTAGCCTTTAAAGTAGCTTTTAAGAGGATGTTTATACTAGAGAATGTTCGCGCAGGGTTTTAAGGCGCTAGGCTAGCCCTGCATAACCCTAAGGTTGTGTTATTAAAGCTTGATGTACAGCTACGTACGCCAACGCCACCTGCACCAGGCACTGTCGCCTAGGAGGCGCAAACACCTGTAACGGTCTAGACTCTAAAGCTAAAGAAGAGCTAGAGCTAGCCGGTTACATTAGCTTAGCCGGCTTGGCTTAAGCTGGATATATATTATCTACGCAGCTAACTAGACGTCTAGTTAACTTGTGCATGCTTTTTAGCAAAAGTTGTTAGGAAGTAGATATCCTTTATTGGCCTTTGGCCAGACTACTACAACACCACGCAACGCCTGCGAGATAGAGGCGCAGTCAACGCTGATCCAAAATCGCATGCAAAATCATTATAGGTCACTAGCAAGTTTATTAGATAAGCAGGTTAAGTAGTTAAGTAAAGGCACTTTATAGATAGCTTATAATATAGTGTTAGTGCAGGAGGAAATAGGCCACCTATAAGACACTATTACTACGCTTATAAAGCGTGAGACCTGTAAAAGGTGGTATATATGCGTAGAGGAGACTCTAACAGTTAGTAAGGTATCTAACCTAGTTACTAAAAAGGAGGGTGGTAGTTGTGAGGAGGGTGAGACGCCTGCAAAGAGGGTGCGTGCAGAGAGGCGCTGCAGCTGTTGCAGCAAAATTAGGCATAACTCCCATACCTGTAAGGTAGAAATTAAGGACGTAGATAATAGCAATGCTTCTAAATAATATTATAATGTTAACGTACCTCACGGGCGAGTGGCCGGCCCGGGCGAGTGTCCGGATTTTGCCAAGACCACACCAAACTTCATACAACCCGCGATGTCTCAACGCAAAAAGGCTTAAAGCATCTTAAAGGAACTAGATATACAGCTTACAATCTAGGCTCTTAAACAAGACGCAACTCTTACTATTCCACGCGCTGCAACAATCTACAAGGTGTTAGAAAGAACGCTAAGACGACGACGTGCTGGAACTAGGCTGGCGGATGGGTAGGGTATGCTTTTTTACGTTTTGGCTTATAGCTTCTTAACTAGCAGAGATACGCTTACATAATCTATTATTTAATAGAAGCGCCTAGTATTGCGCCTTCTAATAAAAAAAGAATTAGCTTATTCTGCCTAGTATTAGCTAAGTTATTAACACTACCTAGCAAAGTATACCTATTAATAGGTATGCTCGCTAGGTACCCCCCCTTTTTTAACCTTTTCTAGCCTCTAGCTTGTGCAGTTTAATAGTTATAACAAAACTCTCTACTACAGAAATATAGAGGTAGTTTTTCTCTTTCTTTTAAGCCCTATTTTGCTAGAATCCATGTATTATTGACAAAGTTTTGGGGGGTACCCACGAAGGACGTTAGAGTATACCCATTCCGCCAGCCTAGCTGGAACGCTCTTAAGACGCGATTGTAAGGTCAACTTAATGAAGCTAACAAGCACTGAAGAGGAGGTGATTGTGCAGCATGTTCTGAAGCTGGACAAGCGAGGATACCCACCCTGGCTTACTGATGTGGAGGATATGGCCAACTCTCTACTCACTGAGCGCTACCAGCCTCCTGTTGGCAAGAACTGGGCTAGCACGTTCGTCAAGCGTTGCCTAGAGCTCACAGTCAAGTTTAATTGAAAGTACGACTACAAGAGAGCCCTCTGCAAGGATCCTGAGGTGATCTAGGGCTAGTTCTACCTAGTGGAGAATACTAAAGCTAAGTATAGTATCCTAGATAAAGACACCTACAATTTTAACAAGTCTAGGTTCATAATAGGTGTTATATTAACAGGAGCTGTTGTTACAGGCTTAGAGCGTTGTGGAAGACTAAAGACAGTACAGCAGGGCAACTAAGAGTAGACTAGCATTATCTAGGGTATTAACGCGTTAGGATAGAGTATCCTACCCTTTATTATCTTCTAAGGCAAGCACTACCTCTCTGCCTAGTATAAGGAGCTGTCTTTACCTCACAACTAGGTTATTACTGCCTCTAAGAATAGCTAGACTAATAACAAGCTTAGTATTAAGTGGCTGAAGCACTTTAATGAGCACACAAAGGAGCGCACTGTTGGCAGCCATTAGCTGCTTATTCTGGACGGCCATAAGAGCCACAATTTAGTTAAGTTCTACTAGTACTGTAAAGAACACAAGATTGTTACCTTGTGTATGCCTCCACACTCATCGCACCTGTTGCAGCCGCTTGACGTGGGTTGTTTTGCCCTAATGAAGAAGGCCTATGGTTGCCAAGCTAAGCTGCTAATGCGCAACAAGATTACTTGCATCACAAAACTTGAGTTTTTACCATGCTTTAAAGGAGCTTTTGATACCTCTATTACTAGGAGCAATATCTAGGGAGGATTTAGAGGTGCTAGCTTGGTCCCCTTTAATCTAGAGGCTGTAATATTAAAGCTTAAAGTGCGCCTATGTACTCTACCACTACCTACTGTGGATAAGAGTATGTGGCACTCTTAAACCCTACAGAACACCCTAGAATTTAGGTTGCAATTAAAGCTTATTAAAGAGAGGATTTAACAATATAGCAATAGCTCTCTAACTTTAATAGTTAATGCTCTTAATTAGCTCACTAAGGGCGCAGAGATGATGGCGCATTCACTAGTTTTAGTGCGCAACCAGGTCGCAGAGCTTTAAGCTGCTAATGAGGCCGCCACACGCTGTAAATCACACAAGAGGAAGCAGATCTAGAGGGAGGGGACTCTTACTGTTAGTAAAGGAGTGCGCTTAACTACCCTAAAGGAGTTTAAAGCCTGTGATGATGGGAAGAAGGTAAGCAAGAAGAGGTGTGTTGAACTAGGCACTCAGTCTTTACAACGCTGTAGCAGGTGTAGTAAGGCAGGGCACAACGCGCGAACGTGCGTAAAAGATGCGCAAGATACTGTAGATTAGTGCTGTATACTGTAAGTTACAGTAACTTGCAGTAACTTGCTGTAATATGCAAGAGAAGTTGAAGTTTGGTGTGGTCTTGGCAAAATCCGGTCACTCGCCCGGGCCGGCCACTCGCCCGTGAGGTACGTTATGTGTAGTATTGTAATTTATTGTAGTGCTGCGCTGCACTGCTGCGTAGGCGCGGCGCGGGTATTTGGTGGACGACTCACTTGGGTGAGCGACTCGCTTGTGAACCACGTTAGCTTCACTAAGCTTTTGCTTCTCAGCTTTAATTCACAGTGGACAGTCAACAAAAGCGCGCTGTCGAAACACCCTCCAGCACGTCTTGACCTCTTCTTCGTTCGATCGTGATGTAGTAAAAACCTATCTCCCACGGTCAAGAATTTTGATTGTTCTTTTCTCTCACTGCTAGGAGAGGGTAAAGCGTCCATCTTGGCGGCTAAGCTGATCTGCCTTTCCCTCAACTGACCAAGCATGCTATTCAGCCCCGAAAAATCCTTTGCATACATGGCTCGCGATTTAGAAATCTCTGCTCACGTCGCATAAAGATCGCTCATGTCCTGTGGGAATTGAGTGAGGGCAGATACTGCTGGACTTGTTCACAATTTTGACGTGGTGAGGTTTATGCCACACTGGTCCAAACTCGCGATTTGTCAACACCTTAGATGTCTGGACTTGCTGATCAGACTCAGATGCCCTGGCTGTTAAGGAAGAAGGGTCTATAGTCACATTGCTACGGTCATGCAGGAACTTCAAAGACAAGATAACGACTCTTATTCGCTGACCAGATCCAACGATCGACCGGTTTGCTACATCCCCTTCACTGAGAAAAAATACTCTTAATATCCGCATCTTCCTCTTCCATCTCGGCCAATTTCTTCCCCGGTAGCCTAACCGCCCGATCAAGCGCCACAGGTAACCCTCTGTGTCTTCCTCTCAACATGGTCAAAATCATAATGATCTTACTGCCCGTATACATGCCACCACTGAAACTGTACGCTTGATCCGGCAACCCGATACTAATTCCAATAGTCGTGTAACCACTCACAATCTCAAACAAGATGGTAAAGACGCTGTATGTGCGCGGGTCTTCGATGGAGTGGTGTGTCTCGATGAGTGTGATGAGGAAGAGTGCGAGGGCTATCCACCATACATCGTGCGAAAGCTGGCCTCGGACTTGTTGGCTGAAGAGAGAGGGTGGTCGGGTCTGTGGATGTGAGGAGAGCGAGTGGATAGAGGTTGCGCGGTTGAAGTCTATGGTTTTCGATCGCTTCAACGGTGCAGGCGCTGTGGACGATATGGGTGCGACACCGACGCCCTGAAAGGCCGTCATGCGATGCTGAAGTTGGCGGCCTACAAAGGCAGTGCTACGGCGGCCGGCTTGACCAAGTGATTTTATGGGCGCAAGGCGCTTCTTCTCTTGCTCTGATTTAGCGGTAGGCAACGACGCTATCTCAGCGTCGACATCGAAGAGTGAGCTGGACGCGGAATGGAGCTGTTCTGGCTCAGCTTCATCGCCCTCGTAGATACCCAGAGATCTCTCCTCATATACGTTGGTCTTGCGCATAGTGATGATGTGTGGATACGCTGCGGTGTAGAAGACGACCAACCACAAGACTTGAACGTCGAAATACATCCCTGAGGGCGGGACGATAGCGTAACCTCCAGTCGGGATCGAGAAACCTTCGAATAGGGAGATGAAGACGCGTTGACCAAGAGGGATGACCTCCATGGTCGGGTTTCCAATGCTGAGAATGAGGATCAGAACCCAGTCTACCACTACAAACGAGGTGAAGGTTGCGATGAATAACCAGGTGTCCCGTGAAGGGAACATGCTGGTATATACGCGTCGCGGGAACTTGAGGATGAAGTCAAAGCCTTCCTTCCATACGCCGTACTCCTTGTCTTTAGAGAAGAGATTAAGAAGTGTAGACATGCTCCAGATCAGGAAGCGCACAACGACGGGGAAGGAGGCAGGTCCAGCGAGCGACAATATCGTTACGATAACGAGGACGTAGTAAGAGGACTGAAAAGGTATGAAGCCTGCATCTAGCAGCGTGAAACCAGCGTTGCTGTACGCAGAGATAGCGAGGAAGATGCCTGCCCACCAAGGATTTTGCGCATTGACAGCGCAAGCCTCCCTCTCGTGAACGGACATGTATGCCCCTAGCGCGATACCACCGAATAACTGCCAGAGTACAAAGTAGGCCGGAACGAATCTAGAGAGGAATTTGAGCGCTCGGTACTCAACACCGCCTAGGTACTCTCGCTGATCTGACGACAGATTGAAAAACTGACCATTCCGACCAATATTGCGCTTTTGCTCTTTGAGAAAGGTCTGCACGTTGAAGCTGTCGTCTAGCTTGGACTCCTCGGCCATTGAGCGGCGACGCTTCGAAACGCTCTGTTGGCTGTGGACCTGGTAGATCGAGTGTCCCGTCGTTGACGACATGGGCCTTTCGTGAGACATACGCTCTTGTATGGGATCCATAAAACCGATGTGCTGTGATGGGCTTTTTTCTCTTGATAGAGGCGAGATCGGTGAAAGCCCCGTCTGGGCATGGTTTTCGGTAATCGGTGTGCTGGGCGGTACATCCTCCGCGCGTCTCTCTGCAGGCGTCACAACCTTCGTCAATCCTCTCGTCTTAGTTCCCGCCTTGCCCTTCCCAAATGACCCCATGACTGGTAATCCAAACATTGCTCCCGTCATACCCATCACAGCTCCAACGTCTCCCTTTCGCGCATTTCGCCTCTCTGTCTCCGCCTCCACAATATCCTCAAACCTCTTCTCAAAGATGTGTTTCCTGAAGGCAACAGTAAAATAGCTGACCAGCACCTGACTTCCCATCATCATTAAAACCGCCAGCTCCACTTGTTGAAACGTAGTGAGTTGACTAACGTTTACGGAATTGAGTCCGGAAGCGGTCATCGCGCTCATACACATGAACATGCAATCCCACCATCCGATGCTTTTTGATGGATTTGACGCGCCCCAGAAAATCAACGTCCCCACAATTGTAACGCCAATGAAGTACGCATAGTGAATTGTAATGAAGTTCACTGGCGGAGCGTATGGCTTCACCGCGTCAACAATTTTGCGAATTCTAGGATGATCTGGCTCGAAAGCTTCCCACCTGGCTTTGAGTCGATCCATGGTCGTGCGGTTGTAGCAAATGGCTCCGGAGTAAGGTCGGTTATTGAGGTGGCATTTCGTGTGAATTGTTGGGCCTGGACTGCTTGCAAGTCTCGCACTATAATTAGTAGCAAAATGTATGAGCAAAGCGCGCGCAATGGGGACTGAAAGAGAAGATCAAAGTCTGTCGATGTGGTGTGCTGAATTGAAGGGAAACCCGTGGATTGACGTTTGTGGCTGAAGGAGGGCGTGCTGGCGAGTACGTAGGCTCGATAAAGGGATGAACAGGGTCCAGGGTGGCACGGAAGTTGTCTGGGCGCGCCACGGCCCGCTACCGAGCACAGACGCCGGACGCCCGGGAACACTGAACGTCCAGTGCTTCACCGTAACTTTAGTTTTCCGAATAGAATAGGTTAATCAGCGATACTAGAAAATAATACACTTGTATAAACGTACTAGCAAAAGCAAGATAAATATCTTTAATATACTTTAGTAACGTACCCCACGGGCGAAAGAATGAACGGGCGAGAGAATCACTTTTGCTAAGCCCCCACTAAACTCCACCCTATTATAGCCTAAAACAACCTAAATTAGCGCTGCAAACTGCAGTACAGCCTGTAATATTATTTAGAAACTACTTCTAACGTACCTCTTTCTTACTCATTTACGCGTTATGCCTAGTCTTACTGCACTATCTACAGCGCCTTTAGGAAGGCTCATCTACTTTAGCGCGCTTGTTTTGCCTTGTGCAGCGCCAGTTTGTGGTGTTTTGGGCCATAATAGGGTTTGATGGGGGAGGGTCTTGGCAAAAGTGGGCGACTCGCCCTGGTGGGCGACTCGCCCTACCGGTGGTACACCTACGTTAATTTTCTCACGATAGCCATCGCAAGCGTCATACCAAGATGTCATTCCCCTGTACGACAGCCGCATGATGCGCCAATTTGGGTATCTGAGCATTCCTCTCAGGCTTTGCAAACAACGTCATGAGCCAATCGCAACGAACGGAAAGACTGAGATAAACGCATTGTCTGGGTATAAACCTTGCCATTGGTCTTGTCGGTTTCAACGGGAGAGTGTGTCTCCTGCTTATCAATCACGGGCTTACAAATGTTCCCGTATGATCACACACTTCACGTATCGCCGCACGCAAGGCAATGGCACGCCTGATCTTTCGGGCAAGCTACATATGACCTGGAACATATGCATTGCCGCTTGAGCACAAGATTGCTGGAAACCATACTTTGGCAAGGATCAAGCATTAAGATGTCAATCAACACCGGCAATTTCGCCTGGACAGTGCCAGACTCGGCCACATCTATCAATCACTTGACTCTGGATTCCCTGCCCGTACCTACTGCTGGACCTCACCAAGTCCTCGTCCGCCTGACTGCCGTATCCCTCAACTATCGCGATCTGCTTGTGGCAACCCGTTCCCCAGAGTATCCTGGGAATCACGTCGCAGGTCTCGTGCCCTGCTGTGATGGCGCTGGTATGATACACGCCACCGGGGTTGATTCAGAGTGGACTGGTCGCGAGGGCACAAGGGTCATTCTGCATCCGAACGAGTGGATGACGGGAGATGTGAGGAACCTCGACCTAACAAGTGTTCGGAGCCGCAGCGTCTCAAGGTAGTGTATTTTCTATCATAGTTATGTGATCTGATGGCTTACTATACAGGCGTTCTGCAGCAATGGATAGCCGTGGATGACGCCCGTCTCATCGAGGCACCCACCCATCTTAGCAGTGTGGAGTGTGCGAGCCTGCCCACTGCTGGGGTGACGGCCTGGAGCGCTATACGAGAGCTTCTTGATGCTTCTCTTGCCGGAGAGCTAGGTGACTGGCGCGACGGACAGAGATTGCAACACAAGACGATCCTCACACAGGGCACCGGCGGCGTCAGTTATTTCGCAATCCAGGTACGTCACCTTCACAGATGCCCGTGTCCTTCTAACTACCAATACAGATCGCAGCCGCACTCGGCGCAACGGTACTTGCAACATCTTCCTCTGACAAAAAGATTGAGCTTGCGAAGGCGCTCGGGGCCACACATGGCATCAATTACACTACGACTCCGGACTGGGACCGTGAAGTTCTGCGCCTCACGGACGGCAAGGGAGTCGACCAAGTCATCGAGTTAGGTGGTGCGCGGACACTCCTCAAGTCTGTGAATAGTGTCCGTAAAGGTGGATTGGTCAGTCTGATCGGCATCTTGAGCGCTCCACAAGATGTACCTGCGGACATCATACCTTCGCTGCTATTTGGAAGCAAGATAGGTGAGTGAGTGCGACGCCGCGATTTACAAAGCTGACATGAGAGTAGTGAAGGGCTGTGTTGCGTTCAGTCGCGATGCGACGGCGGAGTTCGCGAGGTTCGCAGAGCAGCATGGCGTCAGGCCGGTCGTTGCGAAAGAGTTCAGGTTCAATGATGCGGTAGAGGCCTTCGAAGCGCTGCAGAACCAGACTGAAGTCGGCAAGATCGTGATCAATATCAGCAATCAGTGAGTCATGTTGGCAGTTATTGGGCCCTTTCGGTGTGTCCGCGCGCTTCTTATCACATGGTGGTGCTGTGCGGAAATGTTGATGTTGGCGGTGAACGACAAGATAAAGGCAATAATGCACGATCCTTGGTGTCGGTAACCTTCTATATTATCTACCCCGCCCAATAACCTCGTTCCCGCACATTGCGCTTGGTGGGCCTTGAAGATCGGAAGCTGTGCAGGTGATGTATTGTTGTACGATGCTAGTACCTCATCGGCCCAATTCGGAAGTGATCAGTCCGCTTTGGACCATACGAAGGACCACTGTGTCTTGAGATCCAAGATAGCACTAGAAGTGTGCACATGATCAATTACTTCATGGGTACTTCATTTTGCAAAAGTCGCGCGTCTTTGCTCTTCTACTCGTCTGCCCGATCGACACCTTGCCGGAAATTCCAGTGACCTTTTGAAGCATCACCCACCTTTTACGGCAACCGCACCTGAAAGCCTCAACACATTCTCCGAGACTCCAACCCTAAGATAACACTTCCTTAGAGAGTTGGATATTCAAGACCGCTGCCTCAGAAACCGCAACCCAGACTAGGAACATTGTCATCCCAACATGCTGTTCACCGGCGGCTTCAGTATCACAACCTTCGTCATTGGGACCTCGGCACTCTCCTTTGGAGTATCCTTTCTGCACCCATAGCACAAGCAGCTGGACGAAGAGTTAAAAGAGCTAAGGAAAGAGTAAGCTTGATTTCTGAACGAGTCGCACAAGCAGCAGGGTTGCGGAGTAGTTGGAGAACTTGACTGCGCGGAGGCGTACGTGGTGGCGATGTTAGGACGGGGAAGACAGTTAGTATGCAGGAGGCAACTGGGAGTGTTTAAATGGCGTTCAGACATTAGAGGAAGGCTGGTTAAAAGGGTAGCGTACTAATGTGACTTTATGTACCAAGAGAAGACTAGGACATGCTATAAGCACGTGGGTTGAGATGACCGACGGGGGCAAATGAGGAACTTCCCTTGGAGCGCCTGGCGGCGATGATTGGGCGGAAGGGAAAGTAAGGTGACACGACGGTTCGAGGCGCCACTGCAGCTTCACAAGACGAAAGGGGTTGCCACCTCCATGTGAGCCGTATTGTTAATGTTTGTCGCTGGCAATATGAGCCTCTCTCTGCTCTCATTGAGCACCACGGATTCCTCAGACCTTCAAGACATCCTCACCTCAAGCAACCGAAAGGTACTCCAAAAGCAAAACTGTCATTCTATCTAATTGCCAGGAGCTTACTCTTACGCTTTCCGGTGAGCTCGCTACCGACCCCCACCAGCAGTTTCGGGAACAGTCGATCAGATCCGGTCCAACAATATCGACAACCTAAAACCAATTTGTAGAGCGACATACCGAGAGCAATTAGAGCGCCGCACATCTTCATACTACTCAACCGTCCATATCCGGGCCGACCTTGCCTGAGAGCGGCTCGACGAGCCGAGTGATTAGTGTGGTGTTCTTCACGAGCTCGTCCACCAGGGCACCCTCTCCAACAGATCCAACTTCTCATCCGCCCTGTGAATCAGCTGGAATTTCTTCTCTGGGACTGGCGAAGGATCGATGAGAGATTAGCGGTGGACTTCGCTACTTCGACCTGAGCATGATCCGACGTCGAAGACTGCCGAGATCGAGCTCCCGGAAGTTTGAGGCAGTCCCTCTCCGAGACCAGTGTCGAACTATGTATCTCTAACACTGATTCATACAAACATCTCATCCATCTTCTTTACAATGATCTGTTGCAGTCGCTGCCCTACGCGTGTTGTGCGGTGGTTCGTCGTACAGATCGCCTGGATCTCTGCAACTGCACTTTCACGTACCCCAAGATCGGAGCTAGTAAATTCATTGAAACATCAGCTCCACTGAACACAATCTTATGCCTTACATTCCTTGCAGGAACTAACCTTGGCGTTTGAGTTGTGAGTTTGTAATCAGAATTAGCAAGGTACCACGATTAGATGAAGTCAGCTTGGTGGTTGTATGCCCACTCCGTCAACAAATTAAGAGGTAACATGGTGGTTGCTAGCGAAACATTTCACTGTATCTACACCTCGCCGCACTTTACTCCCAAACGGATGTCAAGATCTCATAGGATTATAAGCCCTGTCGATGCCAATGCAGCTACAGGTACTGTATGGAAGACCATATGGAGACTTGTTTTTAGAAGCTTTGCTGGCCTTGGGGTGTCTACGATTGGCTAGATTAGATAAATTTGCCAGCTACTCGTACGTCTCCTCTGCTTTGTCTTAACTTTGGAGACTCGGCAGACCCAAGACTGAAGACACAAAGTAACGTCTGACATTGGACTACAAAAGGCTTGGAGGGGCCTCGAGGAATCCATAGAAGCTACCCCACAGACACTGATGGATGTGGGTTCGCCTTAGTGCCTATCTGTAGCATTTCGTCAGACTTGAATCAGACTCAAGCTGAAAGCGATATGAGGCGGCTCAGCGCTGTTACTAGCACCTGTGGCTGGCTCGTAGGGCTATTTATACGTTCAGCGTTTACTCGACGATGAAACTGAAAGCCTTGGCTGGGGTGTCGTTGTTGTGACGAATGTTGTCGGAGAGTGAAGGCAAAAGCTAGTTCAGCTCTCAATTGCCGCCTTAACGAAGGTCACTTTGGCGCTGTTCCCCCTATGCTTCCTAATGTTTCTGGTTCGAGCGTAGCTTGGCGGTGACGTTGATGAAGGAGCTAAATTGGTTCACAGAGGTTGATCGAGATCATGACAGCGCGACTGACCCTCTCGCGAGTTGAAACGTAGCTATAGAAACAAAACTGGCGGCAGCTAAGTCACACGCAACGCAAGTATTTGGAGCACTCTGTGAGCGTTCCTGTTGCTGACTCGTTCAGGCGGTGCAAGAGCAGGGTTTGCAGGCTATGACGTGTAAAACAGAGACCATAGTGCAGCCCCTACTGGCAAAGAGATCGCAGCAGATTGCGGGTAAGGGCGTGTAATCTGTGGATGAGATGACATATGCGCAGGAGGATACGCACCAAGTTTCCAACGCCAGTGCCTGCAGGGTTTTCGAGTTGGCCGGATGTCTGGATTTTCCAAGGATCAACATCACATTGCTGCACTTCGCGCACTCAATCTGTTACTTGATTACCAGTCTATGTAAATTTGATCTGAAGGTTCAAAGTCATGCGAAGTTCCCGGGAACTCCATATGGCTGCAAATACCGGAGCATCTTGTTTATGCAACTTACCTTGCTCCGCGATTATAAGTTGTAACTGCCTGGTGCAGTGTCGGGTGGAGGCTGGGATCAACAATTGTATTGCTATCTGTTGTCGTGTTGTCATGATTGTGTACGGAGCTCTCAGCTCTGAGGTAAGTGCACTTGCCCACTGGGCAGTACCTTCTACAACAAGATATCATGTAACTTCACCCACGTGGTTACACACCCCCTCAGCTGAGGTGCCAACCAAAGCTAATCTCCCTTATTCCTGTTCTATATTATATCTATGATTGTTGCCCTATAACCATGCCCAATACCGTCCTAATACCAGTGAGTCAAGCTCGCCAAATCAGGGTTATCATGTCCTTTGGGCTCTAGTAGGTGGTTCTCAACGTCTTTTAATCCAAGCTGTCGGATGAATTCAGCATGCTTCTAGCGTACAAGGATCTTGGTAAGTCCATCAGCTAGCATAAGGTTGGTTGGCTTCCACTGAACTGATATGCGTCTAGCTGCCACCTCCTGCCTAAGCCAATGTTGGTGGACGTCCACATGACGCAAACGCGTGAATAGCTTGTCCTCGTGCTTAGTAACAACTCCTACTGTCTGCAGGTTATCGCAGAAGATCGTTGGCACCATCTCTAGGTCGAGCTTGATGTGCTTGAACAGTCGATTCCATGCCTGCAGCTCGCTGGCTGCTGTCGACAGAGCTAGCAGCTCTGCCTCGGTGGTCGATTTCGTGACGGAACGTTGGAGTGTCGCCTTCCAGTCGATAGGCATACCGTACATCATGAAAAGATATCCCTGAGAGCTGCGCCGCGTCGGCAGGTCGTCCGCAAAGGCTGCATCAGAGGCACCGTAGAATAGTGGCTCTGTT